GGGAAAAATTGCTCTTTTGGTCAAAAAGGTTGAACATCTATAGGCGAACATCTATAACGCCAGTGCTACGGGCCGGTGTTATGCCGTAGGTTGAAGCCTTGCCGTGGATTGAAGCCCTGTTCGCGGGGACCCGCAAAGGTGACGTCATCGCCTGTATTGAGCGTTCGCCGTTTTTTCACCCTTTTCAAAGCTTTTTTCTCTCTTTTGAATGATATATCAGATTAAACAGCAAATGGCTGAATAAATAATGTGCATACAATTGCGAGGAGGCTCGTTTTAAGGACACGTTTTTCAGATCTGTCACAATCTTCGTATTGGAATAAACTTCCGTTTTTGAGTGTATAGTCCTACTCTGTTATATTCCTCCTTCCTACAGAACAGACAATGACAGGATAATATGTGATTTGTCAATAGTCTTATTTCTTAAAACCTTCTCTGTTGTTTAAGTGTCTGATAACCACGAATAGTAAGCAATGATATAACAGTAATTATATCACATGATCTTGTCAGACACTGTGTTATTTTCAATCAAGCCTAAAAGATAATGTGTTCAAACTGGCTTCACTCACTTGAATTGCTCCTTTGAATATCATTTTTATATATCCCTACTCAACACATGTTTGTATTGTAATGCCACTCATATTTTTTTGTAATTGTATTTTAAGGTGACATTGAATGCTTTGAAAGGTGCCCTAAAATAAAGTGTATTATTGGTGTCAATAGGGAAGATCTACACTGTTCTACATAACATGTTCAGAGCAGGTATTTCTCCTGCCGGATTTGGAACCCCCCCTATATCTTTCTCCAGGATAGTCACAACTTCACCAAAATCACACTGGTGCTTGCTGTTGCACGTTCAGGCAAACAACTGACATAGTCACTTGTTTGCCATTTTCAAAACACTGCCATTAAAAATCAATAATCAAATACACATGCGAAATGACCATAAACACTGAACTGCTTTATTGTTGACTCATCAATCAGGATGAAAGCACTGTAAAAAGACTGTGCATGCCTCTTCTACAGGCAGGGCCCAGAGTGAAATGCTTTTGTGAGCACAAACTAGAGGGGAACAGCAAGCACCAGTGTGATTTTGGTGAGTCTGTGACTATCCTGGCCAAAATTACAGGGGGCGCTTCAAAATCCGGCAGCTCTAACAACTGCACTGCCGGATATGGAAGCCCCTCTTTATTTTTTCACCTGCAGGGCCCAGAGTGAAATGCTTTGGTGAGCATAAACTAGAGGGGAACAGGCAACACCAGTGTGATTTTGGTGACACTGTGACTATCCTGGCCAAAATTACAGGGGGCGCTTCAAAATCCGGCAGCTCTAACAACTGCACTGCCGGATATGGAAGCCACTCTTTAGTTTTTCACCTGCAGGGCCCAGAGTCACATGCTTTGGTGAGCATAAACTAGAGGGGAACAGGCAACACCAGTGTGATTTTGGTGACATTGTGACTATCCTGGCCAAAATTACAGGGGGCGCTACAAAATCCGGCAGCTCTAGCATATATAAGATATAGGGGGGGGTTCCAAATCCGGCAGGAGAAATACCTGCTCTGAACATGTTATGTAGAACAGTGCAGATCTTCCCTATTGACACCAATAATACACTTTATTTTAGGGCACCTTTCAATGTCACCTTAAAATACAATTTAAAAAAAAATATGAGTGGCATTACAATACAAACATGTGTTGAGTAGGGATATATAAAAATGATATTCAAAGGAGCAATTCAAGTGAGTGAAGAACACATTATCTTTTAGGCTTGATTGAAAATAACACAGTGTCTGACATATGTTATATCATTACTGTCATATAATTGCTTACTATTCGTGGTTATCAGACACTTAAACAACAGAGAAGGTTTTAAGAAATATGACTATACTGACAAATGACATATTATCCTGTCATTGTCTGTTCTGTAGGAAGGAGGAATATAACAGAGTGGGACTGCACTCAAAAACGGAAGTTTGTTCCAATACGAAGATTGTGATCTGAAGTCTTAAAACGAGCCTCCTCGCAATTGTATGCACATTATTTATTCAGCCGTTTGCTGTTTAATCTGATGGGAAATATATCATTCAAAAGAGAGAGAAAAGCTTATTAAACTAGATGAACGCTCAATACAGGCGATGACGTCACGTTTGCGCGTCCCCGCGAACAGGGCTTCAATCTACGGCAAGGCTTCAATCTACGGCACAACACCGGGGGCCCAGTCCAATAGTCCATTTAGCTTAGGAACCTTCCTAACCAAGTGAAATGACCCGGAAGTACGTCACTGGCAGCCATGATAAGTGCCGTTCCAATTCTCCAAATGAAAGGAAAGGAGGTTTCAAACTTCCTTTATAACCTCCTTTAGCTTAGGAACGACTGGACCTCCCTAGCCGAAAGGAGAGGAGAAAATGCTGCCCCACAATGCATTGCAGCCGCAGCATTTGCCCTCACTCAACAGTCGGCCGTTCACGGACACAAACGATAATGGGAGAAATGATATCATGAAAGTTACGGTGCTTATTAAGCATTTTAAAACGTATGTGGTAAGTTGCCAAAGTGCTTTGTTTTTAACGTTCATCAGTATTATAATCAAAAAGAGAAATATGAACGTTAGTTTTTACTGAAATGATCAAATAAAGTCAACATTTCACAGTCTTTACTGAGCTGTGTGGGGTTGTTCAACTTTTAAAAGATGTTTGAATGGTGATATACACAGTGATAGATGTTAAGGACTAACGTTTATAATAAATACATTTGTATTGATTTTAAGATCTGTTCATAGTTCATACAATCATACGTATTGGGATCATTTGTATTAATGTGGACCGGAGGGAGAGGGTGACGAGCATACGTTTCACTTTCCTTTTTTATTTCAATTCCAACTTTGGTCATGAAGAATATGTTTCTCTGTTGTCCACGTTCATAAAGCATAAAGCAACAGCATCAGAGCACGGTGCAGAGTCTCTAGATGAGTTTACAGTAGTCCCTCGTTCTTATTGAACATCCATGTTGTAGTCTGCTGTATAGAAAACTGTAGTTTCCATAGTTTCCCCACAGCAGCAGACGCACATTCATGACGTCCGCTGGCGCATCATAAACACGTCGGATAGTGAAAGTGCATTCGGATTCTCTAGTACCACAGCAGTGTGCGAAAAAGTACACGTCCCACCGTCCGGGACGTGTTATTTACAATATCGGACAAGTAGATCTTTCAATTGACTTGTCCGGCGGACAAGTGACGTTTTTCGGCCTGATTTATTGACAAATTATTGATACATTCAGTTTACAAAAGGCAGAACTCATTCGCAAATTGTACGTGTCCGCCATTGTTTGTTTAGAAGTGTTAGTTTCGGTTCTGCTTGTCGATTCCTAAGGAAATGCATCTCGCCGCTTTCTGTACAGTTAGACGGGGCGGGAAGTGTAGCACAGTGGCAGGGTTGGGAAGCAAAACACGGTTCCGAGTAGGAACAAATAACAATTGTATCAGCTGATCGCTGCACGGTGCAGCTCAGCGTCTCTCTCTCTCTCTCTACACACAGCGGATCCGCTGCCCGATTAACAGCCTCATCTTTGTCAAACTTTCTTATTTTCTTTCTCTAACACATAATGAAGGTTATTAAGCGTTTTAACTCCTATGTTGTTAATATTGACCACCATTTCCTTTATGAAGTAAAGCAACCTCCCTGTCTGTGTCCTCACATCCCCGGACCCCCAGACTCAGAGGAGCACAGGGATGTCAGTATTGTTTATGAAGCAGGGTATATAAAGTACATTATTGAAATGAAAATACTATTTATTTACTTTTACAAACAGTGAGCAGCTGCAGCATGTGTATTGCAGGACATGTGTAAGCGTATTTGAGTTGTAGAAACGCGCTAGGCCTATACATCTAATGTGTCATTATTATTATTATTATTAGGTTATGTCCTATGTGTTGGACATGTGTGGTTGGACTTTGTCTCACAGGCAGGTTGCAGTGTAACATCAGAGGAGACTGGGCCAATTGTACATTCTCAAACTGCACCACTTAGAACTAACTAAACAATGCAGAGATTATTTTTATATAAATTGTATTCAATAACCGTAAGAAATGCAACAGTATGAAGTGATTTGTAAATAGGAATACAGATTTGACTTAATCTTTTCATAAATATATTTTTCTCCCAGTTTGACTTATTTTTACCCTCTCAAAGAACCGAAAATAACCAGAATCGTTCAAATCCAAACGATACCCAACCCTATGTGTGATGCAGTAAAATCTTACTGCTCACTTACGTTAGCGGTATCGTAAAAACTGTGGGAAAATGTAAAATACGATGACGAAGAAGAAGATTCCAGTGGCCCCAATTTTTGTCCATTCTGGACAAGTGAAAAATGTATTCGGACAAGTAAATTGCCAAACTCACTTGTCCATGGACAAGTAAATTGCCAAACTCACTTGTCCATGGACAAGTACTCTCTAAAAACTTTTTCTCACACTGTGTCTCTTCTCCTAAATCCTTTTGAATTCTCCTATCCACTATCCCTTAACCCCGTGACGTTTCACTCAGAGGTCAAGGAATAGGAGATAGGGTTAGAATTTAGGAGCTAATTTTTGGATTATCGGAACGCAACCCGGCCCTGCATGCAGTATAACATGTAATTGCACTCATTGCGGCGTGCCGCTTAATCATTTAAATAATATTTAAGCTTCTTATAGGCCTACGTGAAAATGTTGAAAAATTGAAATCCTGGCGCCGCGGCTGCTCGAGACCATACTGTATATCGAGACGTATCAACATACTACTTTACAACGATAAGGAACGCATTCAAATCGATGTAGGCTAGTTTGTTGTTTTGTTTTTCACAGCATCGTCCTTAGATGTTTAACGGTTTTTTCAAGAGCCCGAGACCAAGGTAGCAACCACACAAGAAGCCCTAACGCATTCAAATACATCATATTACAATACATTTCATATAGAACTTGACAAACAAAAGAATATGAATCGTTCCAAAACTTACCCGTAGAGTACAGCCTGTAGATATGCAGCCAAAATCAGGTTAACGGAGACTCCCGCTCATATATCTCAACAACCGCCCAACACAACCAGGAAAACAAAACTTACAGTATCTTGTTTCCTCTCTATGAAGCGCGAAACGTTACTCCTCCCACACTAAGTTAATCATTATGTATGCATTTGGGTCTGAAATGTAAAAACCCTTGCCATTATCCTATTCCTGTTAAAGTGGTCCTTTCTCTAATCATGTAGGCATTTTTATGTCAAGTGTTTGTATAATTATTTCCTCTTAAGGGATGATTAAGAAATTCAGAATATGGTTGTCACTTTAGTTGAACAAACAAGTCACAGAAATCTGAAACATGACACGGGGTCTCTAATCCAAAAATGCTGGGATCCACTGGTTTGTTAATGTGCATCACATGAGTGCATGATATGTCTACTGCAGTTGGTATTACAATAATCCACCTGCAATGTAGTGGAGTTGTATAAAGTAAAATAAAAAGGATTGTAACAAAGGCCACCTCTTTATGATTGGCCGTTGGCTTTGGCCTTGTAAATATTGGGTGGTTCAGCTTTTGTATTACCTGCTCTTTAATTAAACAAACAACATAATGGCACTTTGCACTTGAGTAGTCATATTTTCACTTAATTTGCAATATTTGCACAATGCACTTTACACATTGCATATTTGCACCATTTGTATATTAAAGTGTATTGTATTCCTGAAGATGGAATACGTAATCATTTAACAGTTTTATAATGATTGATTGGGTTATCATCTGGCTTGTGCTGTAGTCGGTATTTGACTCCTCCTGAAAGAGAGTGGAGTCAGAATAGGCTCCAGCTGTTGCCTAATTCCAAACCCAACCCTACAGCCTCCTATGAGATAGTTAACTCCCAAAGGTCAGCAAGACAAGTAAAACTCCACTTCAGCAGTTTATTTAAACTTTGGAGATCAGTGATGCCCAACATCAATAAACAGAAGTTGGCTAAACAAAATGTCCCTAAAAGAAAACAGAAGTAAGCTAAATGACAAGTCTCTAACCTGAGCCGCTACATCTGAAACAAAAGAAAAAAGGCAAACAAAATGGGCGTCTCACTCTATATTGCTTTTAAATATGCCCTTTTTAAGGTGACAACAGAAGCGGAATATTTAAATATTGCAAAAATCACACATTTATCTAATTTGTATTGAACACAACACACTTGCCAAATGGCCTGAACAACACCTAATGTTTTGGTGAGGATGTATATTTTTAATTAATTAATTTTGAGGTTTTTTTGAAGAACATAATTTGAAAAGAAATGTATTTTCAAATTATTGAAATTTCAAAGAATATCAACACTATAAATAACATATCATACCTATAACATATAACAATAACATACATGTTTGGGTTGTAGATACACAATATTGACAAAAAGGTTTCCTGACAATCTGAAAAGTTAAACTGCAGCTTCCATGGAAGAGCTGTGCTTTTGCTTCTGGTACAGCACTTGGCAGGGGAAGAGGAGAAACGAATGACGAAGAACACCAAGGCGGATTGATGTTAGTCAGGAGAATACATCTGCTGACAACACTAATTCAATCAGGAGAGACGGTTTTGATGAATACATATTTATTGCGCAAATGCGCAAATGAATGTAATGTAATTTTGGCGATTAGGCCCCGTTGTGCAGGAAGTATCATTCGGGAAGTTAGAGCCGATCCGATGAAACCCCCCTGGGGGGTCTAGACACTGGTGGTGGTGAATGGATAGTTGAGTCGGTCTGAAGAGGAGTGGTTTAGCTATTGACCCTCGATTCAGCGGTACGGGAGGTGAAAAGGGGTGGAGGAGGGTTGCGTAGTCACCTGAAATGACAGCTGTCAGAGGGGGAAGCGCAGATGTAAAAGGTTTGACAGAGCGTTATGATAGGCTCTTGGGAATAGAGCGAAGTGATTGATTAAGCTGAAGAGTGACGCCCCCGGTCACTTATTGAGAGGAGGGAGAGTAATAGGGAATATAAATACATGAAGAGTAAAGACGGTCTTCCTGGTTGAACTTGCGCTGAGCTTCATTTGTCAGGAATAGCCACTTGATAGAGAGGCAAGTTAAGGGATGTTTTGTTGAAGATTTAGCTGTCACTAAAAACAAAGTTTTAACGGATGCTTTGTTGCTTCAGAAAATAGAAATAAACAGAAATAACTAATAGAAATGGTGATACACTTTGGGACCAATCAGTAGGTAGCCTGTTAGTGACATTGAAAAGCACACCTATTATTATTATCCATTAATTAAAATAACTGCACACTAGTACTGAACCTGTTTGGCAGGAAGAGGACACATTTCACATAATTTCACTCAAAAAAATAGTCAATAACAAGTTTGGAAAATCATTTGATTATCTAACAATATAAACTGATGTTATCAAAAACCTAGAGCAGATAGATCCTTCAACAAGAACATGAACAATACAAGTGATTTGTATTGGTTTATTGGAGTGTATACCAAATCAAATACATGTATGCATTAAGAATCGGTGTGGATATTAAAAAAAAAAGTAAGTAACAAGAAACCAGAGAAGCCATCATCTAGATCTCCCTATTTCTCATATATGAATGAAAAACACGAAATACCATTCATTTGCAGTGAGTTTTGTGCTTTAAAATAAGAAAAAACAGTTCAAAATCATTCTTTAAGAAGCCTAGTCTACATCCAAATCAACCAGTAGTGCTGTGATCAATGTTGAGGATTTAATTAATTCATTGAAATGTCAGCCTAAACTAGAATCAGACATAAATCTGCCAAGAACTCCTGTTGCCTGAGCTAAGGTAAAAGCCTGTTGTATAAAAAATACCAAGATTTAAAGTGTTTAGTAAAAGTGTACTGAAAACTGGATTAAAAGGTATTTATGAATGCTTCTGGCCCGTGGCGGGGTTCTAGCTGATTTGGGCGGTGCACCTCCCATCGCATTAATTTTACTAATTGCAGTACTACTTTATAAACATTGAAAGTGTTAATTTGATAGAGATAGTTTACCCGCCGCCCCCCCTCTCTCTCCCCCATATTGAGGCGACCTGAGATCACCCCCGCCCTACTTTGAGTATGAGAACTTCCCTGCCAGATGCCTGCTGTGATAACCCTTCGACCCACAACACCAATAACAATACACTATATGAATTTGTTTTTTTTCATTACGCTTGTGCTGTCCCCATCAAAATGGCGCCCTGGGCAACCACCCATGTCGCCCATGTAAGGGAAACTTCTGCAACAATGGAGAGTCAGGACTCAGAGAGACACGAGGAGAGTTGGAGCTTTGATGTTAAACACTGAATGTTTAATACAAGTATCGGCTGGAGAAATTCACATCACAAGTCACAGCAGCAAAAGGTTCTGACTGCACGGGTGGGTTGCCATGTAAATTCTGCCCAGTATCTCTCTCGATAGACCTTTTAACTAGTTTACAGAGAGTTAAACCACATATTGGGGGATGGGGCGTTAACACCTGGAGACACTGAATCACTTATCTGACTCTTAGGCTCTGTGACCGAGAGTTGACCGGTCATAAAACTAAGACTAAGTGCTGGAGCACATTCCTTAAAGCTGGCGTCACACTCAGGCTTGGTCGTAAATGTCAACACACAGAAAAGGTTAAATATCTAGGAGTAAAGACAGAAATATTATTTGACAGCCCTTATCAATATCCGCCACTGCTTCTGGCAGACAACTAAAATGCTGATGCGCACAAAAGCAGGGGTGGGGTGGATGTCGCTATTGACATGGAGATATTACTTGATAGACTGTACAACATAATAACATTATCATCAAACTGCTTTTTTGAATATGATTTTGAAATGACTTGAATTAGGGAACCGCTTTATGCTAAAAATAAAAAACACTCAAAGAGAGATAAGAACTTAAAAACAATTGTTGAGACCCAATCCAGAGGCCTCATGTCTTTTATCCTCGGTATGTTATCAGGCGTCTGCTGTTAGTCTCCACGGATCTACCCTGAATCGCCACCAGAGAGACAAAGAGCAATGTTGTGAAATTGAATATTAATAAAAAACACTTATTAACAGTTTGGATCATCAGGTTCAATAAAACCTACCTGTACAAATCATGGACGCACTGAAGCTGCTTGACCCCGTTAATCAATACTGTAATAAAAGCACTGTTAGTATTTTAAGAAAACAAGTCATAATCCAGACGATATGAATATTTTACATTATGTTTAAATGGAGTTTTACCAAAGAATTGCATCATCATCTGGGCATTCGGTCAGTTCATTGTAGTAGTTCTTTACCATCTCAAGCTCCAAACTTACATCTAAAAAAACATATTGTTTCAAACAAGTGGATTAATTTAATACACTAATGGAAATGTATCAACTTTTTAATTACGATCAAATGTACAGTATTTGTTTGTGATTTAGTTTCCTTTACCTAGGATGTAGACACCATCTGTTTTGAGTGACAGCTCAATTGATTCCTGCATCGTGCTCTCCAGTTTCTCCAGGATCTCCAACTAAATCAGCATTGAAATATTTATCAATTATCACTGACGTTTTTGGACATGTATGTTTGTGTTGCAGTGTTCCGAGTTGAATTTCCCAACATGTTTAAAGGTCCCCTATTATACTGTTTTTTATATATTATAGGTCTCAGATATATACAAAACATGTCTCTGAAGTGTTTGGCTCCAAATACCAAACAGATCACCCATTGTAGCATCCCACAAACCCCTCTGTTTCAGCTCTGTTTCAAAAGTGCTGATTCTCTGTCTTTTACTTTAGATGAAAATAAGGAGCAACTCCCCACGCCCCTCTGAGAGATATTTGGTTAAAAAGAACACAGAGAGTGAATCTTTTTTCCTGAAACTTTCAGAATCTCTTTACACAGAGGGGACACACATATGTTTAAAAGACATGAAAAAGTGGATTTTGCCTGATAGGTGACCTTTAAGTGAAGAATTATTTCTGTATCATTACTGTATGATGAAATATAAAATGTGACAAACCATCAAGTCTCTCAGCTGTTCCATCATGGCGTCTTTAGCCTGAACAAACATGACGTTCTTTGAACCATGCACGTGCATTTCAATAGTTTCCCTCATGTTTTTCAGCGAGCCTTCTCCTCTAATTTCTTTTGCTCCTACACAAAACAGAAACATGTAGACATAAACATGTTGCAACATAAAAATGTGTAGAAGTGTATTTCTATGTCTGTAATGATCTTCTGTCTTACTGTCATAGCATTCTTTCATGGTCTCCTCGATTGTTGTTGTCAGGCTGCTGTAGATCGTTTTCTTACGCTCACGGATGAGTTTGTTGAGTTTTGTTTTCATTTTTTCTTCCTTAGAGAGAGAATGTGAAGCAGATATCAACATATTTTAAAATGAATAAGTTACAAACTATGCTCATCTTTCCCTTTATAGATGTTACCTGGAAAATCAGTACATCATTCAAACTGATAGGACCTGTTCACCAGAAAACAGGTGCTGTTTGCTGGTTTGCTGTATTGCCCTTTTTTTGCCCAATATCAGAATATTCTATTATAATCTTGAGTGTGTCTTCATGAATTGGGGCAGGGTCAGCTTTACAGCTGCAGTTAATTTTTCAAAGCCAACTCAAGATCATATTTAGTTATTCCAGTACAATGTATAATATACATTGTACTGGAACATGCTGAAAATGTACTATATTTAATAATATTGCTCACCCTTCCACTACAGTCTCCCTGGCTTTACAAACATATCTGATAACGTCTAATGAATAGGATCCTTTACCTCTGTCTTGAGAAATGTCAGCTGCAGTTTGACATTTTCGCACTCCTTATTCATCATCAGCTTCTCTGTGCCAAGTGAAAATGCATTGATGACCCCGTTGAATGGTCCACTGTTTCCTTCATTTCTAAAATAAATTAATACAAATAAATGCTTAAATTCTTAAGGCCTCAACAAGTTTTTCAAAAATGTATTTAAATGTATTGTACAACACAATTTATCCAACATAGGGTTTTATGTGTTTAAGTCATTTCTTACGGGAAGGTCTTCTTAAATTCCTCGTCAATGCTGTCGGTCAAACATGAAGTTAACTTCATATTGATGTTTATTGATTTCCCTTTTTTTGGTTTGTGGATGCCACCATTCTCAACTACACACTTCAATATCCTGTGAAATGCACCACCTTTCTTTGTCTGAAACAAAACAGAATTTTGTAAGAGACATATTCATATTTAGTGCAAAATTAGTTGTTTTGATTTAATTACAACTTAAATACTTACCGGATAAAGGACCGACTTTAAGACTTTGTCACATGAACTTTTAGATTTGTCAACCCCCTCACTGAGGCATTTTTCAAAAGCCGTAAGGGTCTCTTTCATGGGTTCCCTGATTTTATCAAGTTCAACACTCAGCTTTTCTTCAAGTCCTTTGCACACAGGCGTCTTTATGTCAGCCTGAAACCATACACAACAAATTCATTATTCAAAGCAATACAACCATAATACTAGCTGCGATTTTTTTTCAAGCCCTTATAACAACAACTACAAAAAACCCTTTAATTACTGTAGTAATGCATCCTCTCTGAAGCAACACAAACAGATTACATTACATGTAAGCAGTCTGTCTTTGACTTTACAATTTTTACACACAATTTTTGTGTATGCAGCTTATTTTCTATGAATGTTATTCATTTCTTTCAATATGAAAGACAATGGAAGATGTTACTTGATCTTACCCCTTCTCTGCTGCTGGCTCCCTGAATCAGAGAGAGAATCCCGTGAGCTCCAGACACATAGTTTAATGTCTCAGAGTGCCATTCATTCAGATCTTGCAGGAATTCCTGCAGTGAGGGAATTTCTGTAAAAAATGTAATATACTTACATTACATTCTTGAATTTACATGTTATACTCAATTAGTATCTCTACATATTTTTTGGAGGAGATACCATTTTGTCATCCGGGGTCACTTATGGAGACTTGAATCACCTGTGTCATCTCGATCTAGATTTTTCCTTCTCAAGAACTCTTTGGAGCTCACTGTGAAAACCTTGAAATATTCCTCACTGAAATGTTTCTAAAAAAATAAACAAGTTTCGATATAAAAGCAGGTTTTGCAGTTTTGGACAATATTTGTGTTTGATTTTCCTTCAATATAACTCACCTTAACCTCTTTTAGTTTCCTGAATTCTGCCATCACTTTTATCTTGGCTTGCTTGTTTTGTTTCAGTATCTGAGCACGAACACCAGCTGCTGACCTATATGAAAAGATTTGTATTTAGAGAATTACATAAACTGTATATACATTCCAGGATATCATATCACAAAGCATCTCGATCTTGCTTTCAATAACCAGTGATCACATGGAGGAGCTTAATCCAGCATCACAAAGTGTTTGTGAAGCAACAACATTAGGACAGAAATAAATGGCTGAGATGTTGAGGAATCAAGACACACATGAAGACATTTTAGAAACATGGATACTGTTTCAAGTGCACATTATATCCCTGAATACGATCAAAACCAGGATACTAATGTGCCTGTAAACGTAATCAAAGTTTCCATGGTTTATCCTCTTGGCCATCTCCGTCTCAAGCGTCAGTGTTTAAATTGGATGGTACATTTAACTGTGTACTTTTGGCATCTTAAAGTGGACCTATCATGCTATATTTGAAACATATATTGTAGGGCCATACCTATATAAAACATGTCTGTGAAGTTGTTTTTTCAAAATACCCAACAGATCATGCATTTTAGCCATGCCTCATTTCGCTCTATTTGCTCTTTTCCAGCCCTGTTTTTGCAGGGGGCTGATTCTGCTTTTGTGGCAGACTACAGCGCCACTTACAGGCCTGGCATATGTACTACAGCGTCTCCAGTGCTTTCGAGCAGTCTCTCATTCCCCTGATAGGTGGAGAGTTGCCCATATAGGCGGAACACCCCTTTTCTGACGTCAGAAAAATTCAAATAATAATCAGCTCTGTTGCAGCCCCGTTTTTAGAGATTTGGGTATGGAGGAAAAGAGAGAGGGTTGTGTTTTCTGACACTTGGTGAGTTCCCTGACACACCGGGGACACATATTCATGTTCAAAAGCGCATTTTGCATGATAGGTCCCCTTTAAACTACTTACTGATCATCTGAACCTCCAATATTATCAGACTTGGTGCAGATAAAATGAATTTGCCGACACTCGCCACCATTTCCCATGAGGCTGCAGGATTCTTCCAGGATCTCCCAGGATTCTGTTTCTGAAGCTGCTCGATTTATCTCAGCCACAATCCACACAGTAGAACAACTTCCAACAACCTGGAGGGGAATACAGCAAATAATAATGGTTACATTGTCAGTGTAACCTTCCACAATAATCAGCATTGCGTGTGGATAAATCACCTTTTTCCACATCCTGTCTCTGCTCTTGTTACGGTCCCCGTTTCCAGGAAGATCCACAAGAGTGACATGCTGGAGAAGACCATTCTTCGGCACCCTGACAGTCACACACTTCACCAGTGGCCAATACCACCTCTTCACGTCTTTAGCATCTTCCTCTTTTGACTCACTTCGTGTGTATTTGACAAATTTTGCAGATAATTCTTTAGCCTAAAATAAATAAGAAAACAAGAGGCAATGCAAGGTCATTTATTTTACATGAACAAACTTAAACTTTTAGTTAAAAGATTTAAAAGATTGTGTTAAATAATTATTACAGCATAAACTTTTTTTTAAAGAGTCAATTTTAAACCCTATCACTGAAAACACCAACATCTGAATTAAAGCAAAAAGTAGCAAACCTTAAGTTTATATTTTAGTAATGGGGAACAATTAGGTTGAACATTTTTAACATGATTTAAAATGTAAAGCTGATAGTGCCTTAAAATATCTAGGAGGTTCTTGCAAACAAGTTAGTTACTGGTAGACATTTGTTTTCCTTTGATGCATAAAGTAGGTTTACAGAACATGTACATATCGAATTTACGTTTGCATTGGGTGTTCTGTCGTGAAACTACACCAACCAAGAGTTTGTTTTATGAAATGATACAAGTATTAGTCCTACTTACTGTATCACTTGTCAAAATCTTACTCTTGGAATTGAGAAATTCAGGAATTTCTCTGAAATATTTTTTATCCATGAGGTTTTCAGGGGATTTGTTTCTCCATTCTTCTCCATACAGCTCTGACAGCTTTTCAACACTGTCTTGATAATCTTCGTCTTTTTCCTTATCTTCGTTATCACCAAGGAAATTAAACAAGGTCCACAACTCCTCTTTCCACTCCTAAAAAAAAAATGTTGTATTATTATGGCATGTTGTGTAGTCAGCATATATATTTATTTGCAGCATCATCATAAAAGTTGAAATAGCTCTAAGTTAACAAACCTATTTAGCTTATTTTACCTCTTTTGTAATGAACTCGATTTCTGCCTCGTACTTTGGGTTACGCATGTTAGCCTCCACTTTAATCATCACTGAGGTACATGCACTGATGCTTCCAGAGGGCAAGAGATCCTTCACTCCAATGATGGCATTTATCAGAGAGCTCTTTCCAGCCCCCGTTTTACCAAAGACGCCGACCACCTCCCTCTTGTCTGTCTCCAAATGTTTGATGCTATTTCTGTTGTGCAAGAGTTTGAATATGGGTTATTGATCAAATTAACAAATGTAACAAACACTAAAAGAGTGTGTCAAAATCAAGAAGAAATCAATCTGCATGTACGTACATCCTATTTCAGACTCATTTTCTGAGTTTAAAAAATGTGGACTTTCACAAATCACAACAGTGTCCTCAGTGCTGTATAATTTTGACAAGTTTACTATGGTCTCGAAAACACCAATACTTACTTCAGGAACTTGTTGAGCTTGTCGTCTTGGTTAGGTAGTTTCTGGTGGACACATCTCATGATGTTTTTCACATCAGACAGAATGACTTCTTCTGTAAGAGTAAAAGTAAATAACTATTCAGCAGGAACCATTAACCAGTATATCCATCAAGATGTATTCTGTTGGGAAAATACTGAATGTACTCTTTCAATATCAGAGTAGCACATGATAATAAAGGCCTAACTGTAACTGTGTACGTAACCGGATGTGATTACATAGATGAAGCTCATGAGACACTGTGTTGAACATACGATAGCTATGTTCCTAAGATTAACATGATGATTCAGCCACTAGGGAGATGCCATGTTTATTGCTTACGTGGGCCTTAGCTAATCTGAACTAAGCATAGAATAATGCTTTCAACCGGTATCTACAGTATGTATCTTGTGACTGTGATACACCCTCTTGTATAGAAGCATGTGAAGGACACTGTTCAAGGAACTAGTTGTACCATATGCTTATGTGATGACTACTTCCATTCTTGCAAGGATAATAAATACATGTTGGGCTGCACGATATTGGAAAAAACTGACATTGCAATATTTTTTTCCCCTGCGATATATATTGCAATATGAAAAAAATACAGGGATTGAAGAAAAGACAGTTTTTTTTTGTCCGCAAACCATCCTTTCTTGAACTTTAATGCTATACAATTGATATTTTTTTAACTATATTCAACCAGATGAAGGATTTTAATCACGGACGTCTGGATCTTAAGTTATCAGAGCAACAAGCTGAGCTAGCTCGGTTAGCAGCGCCAAACTGCCCTGGAGAAACACATGAAACTACTTTATTCAGTGTTTTTATTTGTAATCACCGGGTCCGTTTGCTTTGGAGATTTGATTGTGATTGGTGGTTTGCTGTGCATGCAGAGCCTGCATGTCACTCACTCAAGCACCCCTGACATGAGAGCCGCGCGAGTTTTCCTTTTGTAGCAAGCAGTAAAAATAATTTGATGTGACTATCGCGCATTATCGTCACGACACAGTATATCGTGCAGCCCTAAATAAATGTATCCTGATATTGAAGCTCAAGCCGGTGACGAGTGATATTCCCAATGAAGCAATCAAGAATACCTGAAAGTATCATCTTCATCATCTATACTATGGCAAGTATCTTCCAGTTTAAGGCCATTATAACTTAATAAGATGCGATGCAAGTTAATTTGTTGAACATTAAACACATTAAACACATTATACGTATTAACCCTAGTTTCTAATATTTTGGAAAGTAATGTAAATACCCGTGTATGATCCTTGTATATCCTCACGTGGTCGTTTTCTGGCTGGGGATTGCCCTTGGCTGGACTCACCCTGAAGATCCAACCTCCTCTTTCCTGGTTTTTAATTTTTTGTAAATAACATTTTTATTTGAAAAAATATAAAATGTGTCTCAACATTGTTTAGATAAAGCAGGTTCATTATTGTTTAAAAAATATCAATAAAACTGCGTATCTCACCTTTATCATTTGCTTTGTTGGTCGATGAACAAACCTGAGGATGAACATGAACATTTGAATGAAGCATTGCATTTCCCATTCAAAACTCTATGCAAAATTGAATCTTGAAATTGGCTATTAACTTTTTACTGAATTAACAGCTCTATTAAAAATGTAAATGTTCTTCAAATATCGATGCATGAAGGATTGAGTCAAGTTCCATAATTACAAGCATGGTCAATTTATTAAAGTAATCATTACCTGAGCAAAAACAGCTTCCTCATCAAACTCCCATTTACACTGCAAATAAAAGTGATACTCTTAATGGCCATGTAAATAGTTGAACAGACATTGACAATATAATATGTATGATTGTAATAAATGTATAAGTTGATACATAAGTTAATTGAACTGCATTCAACTAACTTGAACAGAAGATTCAGATGTTTCCGGATCTGTTGTGTTTTGTTCCTCCTAGTTAGAAAAGAAAATACTCTCAATTAAGTGATGAAATGTTTCGTAAAGGCTATGTCAATGATATATTTGAATACGTTGTCTTTAGGCATCATTAAAGCTTTTAACAGAGTCCACATAAAGTGAGATCAATGAGACTATTAGAGTATTTGTGTAACAGTGTATACATTACCAATAACAACTTGAGTCTTTTCTTGAATTTTAGTCTGGTTCCAACAATGGGGATCAACTCAGCAATTGTTTGATCATCCAGTTCATAAAGAGCTTCTTTGTCAATGTGTTGCTCTGTAATAAAAAAACAAAAATAATTCATGGGGGGGGAAGAGTGACAAATAATTATTTTTCTAATAAGAATGACAGCCTCCGAGCGCATTGCCTGGATTTCTGAGCTGAATTTATAATAGCGCTTGTCGATAATCTGCCTATAAACCACACGATGCTACAGAACATCATTACTTTGAGTGTAATTATGTTTTGATTAACTAAAATGTGCAAGATCTCAAAATGTTCAAAATGATAATCAACAAAAAAAATAATAAAGAATAAAGAAAATGATTTGGATGATCAATGTATACGACATAATACAGATAATGGTATATCATGGAGATTCAATGCATAATATGTTGTATATTTATATTTTTGCCCAACAAAAAGCAAAGTAATACTTTACCTTTAAATGTTTGTATCAATTCGCTGAGATCCCATTGAGTTAATTTGTTGTGAACAAAATCATCCATGATTAAGAATAGCAACTGGAAAGTAAACACAAACTGTTTAAAATCAACCAAAATACATTTTGTGATAGTTATGATCAATACAAATAAAATAAAAACGGGTTATATAAAGTTATAATGGCTGCCTAATGAAAGTGTTAATATGAAGCATGTTGGAAATATATGTCAGGAGAACACAAGATAAGCAAAAATAAATGTTTTAGCACAAGATCCGCTTAAACCAGAGTGTATAATATAAAGTTATGCAACACCCATCACTCGAGACGTATCAACACATACTGGTTTAACTTTACAGCGACAAGGCACGCATTCAAATCGATGTAGTTTGTTGTTTTGTTTTTCACAGCATCGTCCTTTAGATGTTCGAACGGGCAATAAGAGTCACTCGATCATCTTTCTTTATTTCATTTGTAGCTTTATTATACCAGGAAGTCCCGTTGAGATCAATGTGTTTTTTCAAGAGCCCAAGACCAATGTAGCAACTGAGCAACCACACAAGAAGCCCTAACACATTAAAATTAAAATACATCATATTACAATACAATTCATTTACAAAATACTATGAATCGTTCAAAGCTTACCCGTAGCGTGACGCCTGTTGGTATGCAGCCAAAATCAGGTTAACGGAGTCTCTCTCTCACTATCTCAATAACCACCCAACACAAACAGGAAAACGAAACTTAAGTCTCTTGTTTCCTGTAAGAGGCGCAAAAACGTTACTCCTCCCACACTACATTAATCACGTCTTATTTATTTATGTATTGCTCTTTAAATGCAATTTGAATTGCATTTGTGCCTGAAATGTAAAGCCCTGCCATTATCCTAATCCCTGTTAAAGTCGTCCTTTCTCTAGTCTAATCATGTTAAGTGTTTGTATACATCTTACCTCTTAAGGTAGAATTAAGACATTTAGAATGTGATGTCTCTTTAGTCGAACAATCCACCTCTTTATGATTGACTGACGGATTTGGCCTTGCACATATTTACCTATACGTATAAAAAGCAATATAAAGGCACTTTGCACTTTAGTCATAGTCTCACTTAATTGCCAATATTTGCACAATGGCAATGCACTTTACACACTGCATAATTGTATTTTTTAAAGTGTATCTTATTATTGAAGATAGTTTTTTGAACACTATTAACAGTTATCTTTTTTTGTTTTGTTACATAAGAGTATATTTAATGGAGATTGATTATCCTAGTGGTTCCTAATATGCCTTTGGCTGAGTAGGGTATTTTTAAATTGTTATTCATGTACACAAAGTTTATTGTGAGTAGCTTAAAATGTGTTTCAATATTATATTATCTGCTTATAAAACACTTTCAAATTAATTTCAGAATATACAGTCTGGCACACATTGTGCGATTCTTAAATGCAAATGATTAAGATTTACACCAGATAAGAACATATTTACTAGACAGGCTTGACTAAAGGGCAATTTCAGTAATCAGTTTAATATATGGTTCAAAAGGTAGAGAGGTAATTTTTACCACAACTTTATCAATACCATATCAGGTTGTATCTCCCTTTTTGCTCTCCCATCATATAGTTTGAAAACCTTTCTTTTGTCGAAGGATAGAAAGGGGTAAAGCTTTATAAACATTGTGGATGAATTCAAATGTACACGCTGTAGATTTGAATGTATATTTACCCAGCATCAACATATGAAACATAAGTGCTAACATGTTTTACTGCACCGCAGAGCTAATAAAATAGCTTCAGCGGGATAAATTCAAATTTACAAGCTGTAGATTTGTATTTACCTAGCTAAAGACACACCCTTGTCACCAACTGAAACATGAGTGCCAACATGTTTTACTGTAAGGGGGTTAATCCAAAAAGGCTGGGAACCACAAAAATCTGAAAAGTTACTTTAAGTGCAGGTAAACTATTCCCATCTGAAACACAATGGGGTTGAAGAATAAAGTAACAACTTCACAAAGTGTTATTAATTGCTGTACTTGAGTAAATGTACCTAGTAACACAGTATGTTAAAAAAGGTTGGGACGAGAGGAGAGAGTTATTGTCATTGTTGGTGCACTGGTGACTCCTACTGGTTGTTTGGGGTGTCTCACTCTTTACACCCTCCCTGATAATAGTTGATCTATTTAATATACGTTTTATACATAGAAGGTGAAGAACAGCTTTATGTATTTAATCTGTATGCATTTCTGATGCTGCTGGGAGTCTTGTGTGTTTTAAATCACTTTGCTGTACCAATCATGCTTGCAAAAACAGAAGTGGAATCACTATTTACTGCATGCTCTTCTTGCTGTTAACACCAGAGTGCAGTAGAAGTCAATATTTTTGCTTAACATATGTTTTGATTTATCCTCACAGTATGCATGTAACATTTGAACATGAATATTAAGTGTTTAAAGAGAAACAGTGAAGCTGAGAGAGACAGAGTGGCATTGTGTGACTATAATCAAAATCAAAACTTCTCCTCTCCCCTTGAATGACAAAAAACAGTCAGATTTAGACAAACTCAGTTGCAATTTTCAGACAGTCCATATCAGAATGATCAAAATAATTGATTTGAAGAGAGCAAGCAAGATATATTGATGTATGGGTGCAACCCATGTGTTACAACAGCACGTTTGTCGATCCATTGGGAAGTCAAGACAGTCCCCCTCCGTCAGAGCCCCAGTGCTTATGGCTAAAGTTGAGCTAATGACCAATTGAAGTCTGGTCATCAACATTTAAAGTAGTAGAAGAAGGCAACATTGTAAACTGTTGCTGCTTCATATACAGCATTTCAACAATGCCACAGAATAAAGCTCCACATGCAACCGTTGAATAAAATCAATAATCCTTACACTGTCAATTACAAGGATCATACAATTATATTTATTTGGATTGCAGTGTATGTAGTACCAAATATACCGGCAACTTTAGGTGACTGCAAATGAGGGTCGCTGTTCACCTGCCTTTAGTGCAAAGCCCAGCTGACCAGACCTTTCCATGACCCTGCTCAGTGCTGACAGCTGCTCCCAGTCTCTAAGGAACAACACACCATCCCAGAAATGGCCAAACAACGGCTCCTTCAAGACAGAGGGGCAGTCAGACCGGGTCTCAGGCCGGACCTGACTCAGCCCCAGCCACCCAGGTGCGCCTTGCCTTCCCTAGCACAACACTCTTCCATTTATCCCCTGTTTACCTCTCTTTACCTAATTTCCCCGGTCTGTATTTGTAGTCATACTAAGCAGTTGGGGGAGTTTCCTGTTTGAAGACAAATTCTCAAACATCAGAAAAACAGATTAGTGGTCCGCTTTCTTCCACTAATGTGAGAATTGATAAATAAAAATAATATAAAGTAGTAGGAGGGAGAGCAGCATCATGAAAGTTGTCTCCCGTCTGGTTAAAAGTTCATGTATGCTCTCTGCCCAGAATGGGTCATTTATCTGGCATGTAAAGCAGTACTAAATTAAACCTGTCTCTTATTTGGACCTTTATCCATTTAAAACAATTGTTCTCATCTCAGCCACCCCTAGACATGCACAAAGAAGCAACACACCATAACCAAGGCTACTGTGTTTAACATCACCTATAATTTCGTTAAAAGTATAATGAACTGTGGCAGGGTGGTGTATTTAGACGGGGTGAGGGACAGACATGTTTCAAAACATTAATTATTTCTAATTAAATGTGATCAAAAAATTGAAATTCAGGAAAGTGTTGATGCATTATTGGTTAGGAAACAAGTAATCTCAGTGAAAGTTGTCTTTATTACAACATTTATTTAAATGTAAGTAATTCAAAAAATGTGTGTACACCAAAACTAAAGAGGGCTGAGGCCAGTATTTAGGGTGGCAGTCTACTTGTCTTTAGGTGAAACTATGGTGCTACCATATACTCACCAGGTGCAACCACAGCACACCACACACAGCAAACCGGTAACTCACTCGTGCCCCCCTAGTGCTCTTCACCACAGCAGTGAGGGAGAGAAAACTAAAAAGGCAAAAGCTAAAAGAAAAAGCTTTATATAACAGACTATAAGCTAAAGCTAAAAGCTAACAGAGGCTATCAGCAAAAGCTGTAAGCTAAACAGTAGCACAAGGAAAAACAATTATACGCAAAATATCAGCAGGTGAACCTACAAAGAGGTCAAATGTAGGTTAAAAAGGGCTCACCGTGCGGCATACAAACATTTAATTCAAATGTTGTGACCCTACTCGTCACCACAGGTACGTTTGACCAAATCACTGGTGTGCAAGACAATAGCAAGCAGGACGAACAGTAAGGAAGCAGGAAGTGAGCATAACATGACTGAGGAGACCAATTTATCCACGTATTAAAATAAGCTGCCTATCTGTACCAAAGACCATGAAATGTCCTCAGAATTGCTTTTAAAATATAAACAAACACCATATGGTCCTCTTAATCTTAAACCTGATTAAATTGAAAAGCATAAAAACGTGTGGAGAACCTAGTTAAGTAATTTAGTATACATTTAAAAGAAACAGGGTTATCTCTTCTGCAGTAACTGTCAAACTCTCCGCATTATATTTTTAGTTTTGGAAATATTCAAATCAACATGAATTGTGGTCTGTTTGCTGCATCGTTAGCATAGAAATAATACTTGATATTAGTTGGCCCTTGCAAGCTAATTATTGCAATATTGCAAAAGAAGTTGGCTGATTGGTAACAGACTGAATATCTTAAAATGGATTGCCATGAAATTCTAAACACAAATACATTTTCGCTAGGAGATTAAGGCAACTGACTTTGGTGATCCTCTGCTTTTCCTCATGAGGTTACATTTATTACAATATTTTAATATTGTTTGTCATCCCCTAATTGTATCTCTATCAGGTCAATCGGTATAAAGATTTTTGACTAAATATACACAGAACAAATGATATTATCATCAGCCTCAGACAGTTACTGACAAGCTAAACTATGATTGTGACAAGGTAAACATTATACCAACTGAAATAAGCATTTAAGCGTTGTCTTTCTTAAGCATTTTGCTTACATTTTTATAAAAAAAGGGGGTTTTCTATCTTCCTTCACTTCTTTCATATTCTTCTGCTTTGTTATCATTACTCTCTTCTTTCAAATGAAATGTCTCTAATATCTTGGTGTGTGTAGTGTGTGTGTACAGGCGAATAGAGTTTGTCAGTATTTTAGCAGTGGGTAAACACTGCGTCCGGCCAAGAAAAGCTGTGGCTGTGGTGATGTTGTGCAATGTAATTGGAAGGAAGACAGGCCTCTGCCCAATGTAAAGCGGCTGGATTAATTTAGCGTGTATGAGTCCAAACGAGCCAAGTGGACTGGCACCGTCTCAAAGGACCTGGGATCCCTCCTAAAGAAACACTGGAGAAGATGCCAGTGTGTGAGTGAGGCATGTGTGGAATGATGCTTTCACAAAGTGAGGGGATCAGTGTGATTTAGGAGGCTCCATCTGAGATCTTGATTATGGGGGACGATCAGTACATGTCCACCCCTTGCACTAAAAAGGTTTGTTACCTGGCAACCAAACAAACCAATCACACGCTCAAGAAACATTTGAAAATAGGAAGTCTTCTTTCTTTCTTTCTTTCTTTCTATCTCTCCCTCTCTGTCTCACCCACCCTCTGTTTCAGACCATAAAAGGCAGAGATGTTGTGTGATGGATGGCAGCAGAGCCTCTGACTGAACGGGGATCTGTGGTGCCACTCCACAGAGTCCCTGCAGTTTCTCCATTCAGCTCCATT